TTTTTTGTTTTTTTTGTTTTTTTTTTTTTTTTTTTTTTTTTTTGGTTTTTTTTTTTTTTTTTTTTTTTTTTGTTTGTTGGGTGGTGTGGGGGGGTGGGGGGGGGGGGGGGGGGGGGGCGTTAGTTTTTTGGTTTCTTTATATCGTTTGTTCTTTCAATAAAAAAAAGCCATAATACCGGACGTGCCATAGAAGACGCTTGTTTTTTTACTAGGGCAAGGTTTGTGAAAGTTGTTAAAAATCACCGGAACAATAGTTTTTGAAATAAAAAAAATATCCACACCAAATAGTGACCGATTTATCGGAAAAAAGCTTCAGTTCGAGGCGGCACAAAATTGAATTTTGATTTTTTCTCATAAATGCTCACCTTTTTTCCTTTCTATTTAAGGTTTTTATACGTAATCAAATGCACATGAATAATATACTTCCTATTGACTAGATAGTGACTCTTCGATAGAGCTTGTTGAATCCTAAGTTTTCGGACTGAGACCCGGTTGAACCGTACTTTGATACTCTCAATCACATTTTCGAATCTCGGAATAGGATACCCGTCCCGAATATACGAGATACTTTTTTTCCGTTTTTTTTGTATTCGGTGAGCAGCACATCCCACACATTTTTCAGAAGAGTCGTTTGAAAAATGTGTAGGATAGAACACATCGGATCCAGGACCACCTTGACGGACCCAACGCCTCAACTGGCGATTAGGAATAGCTTTGAATATAAAAACTAATTCATGCTATTAAAAATAAGTCTGAAGTCAAAAATTTTCGTTTCCATCATATTGATCATACCTTGACATACGACTCCAACATAATCATATGCTAAAAATAAGATAGAGACAAGCAGATTAAACACAGAGAGAAAATGAAAAATAAGGTTAAAAGTCGAGTTTTCTAAGAAAGGAAAGAGGTTCTCGAAATTTGTTTCTTTCGAGGTCAAAAGAAGTTTGTTTTGTTTGCAAACCGACAGAGAACATTTCAAAGTATACATATCTATGAAAAACAAAAAAAATTGAATAAAATTTAATTTTCATGTCCGTAAAGAGAAGGCCTTAAATTTTTTATTTATTTATTTTTCTTTGAGAGCAAAATCGAATGCATCAATAGATAGTGTTATATCATCATCAAGTACAAATTTAACAGAATCTAAAACTCCTGAACATCAAAATTCATCGTCAAATTCTTCATCAACAACACCTGAATTTTGTCGTATACATCTTCGACAAACAGGTAATATATCAAATTCAAAAAATTCAAACGAATCTGAATCAACAAGTGAATCAGTTCCATCATCAGTTGGTATGGCTATACGTTTATTTTCTGAATATGCATCGAGTCGTTGCCAAGATACAAAACTAAATACATCATCATCAACAACAACAGGAACAACAACAGATAATGAACAATTATCAGATACAGTACGATCTTTACTTGAAACAGTTCAATTATTAATAAAATATATTCGACAAGTACAAAAAAATCGTCAAAGTAAATTAATAATGTCAAATTCAACAATAACAATTGATGATAATGATATAATTAATTGTAAAAATTTATCAACAATGCCAACAACAATAACATTAGTTAATGATTTAAATTTATTTGGTGATCGTTGTTTAGAATTATCAAAAATTATTTCACCACAAATAGCATTTAAATTACGTGAACATATACAAAATATAAAAGATATATCAAAACCATTATTTGATAATGATGATAATCGTGATGAAACAAATATCTTTTCACAAATGACAAGAATTTTACAAGATATTAAAATAATTCTCGACAAATTATAGATATTCCTTTCTTATTTGTATGAATGACATTTTTTGTATATTTATTTCTAAGTCATTTATTATTGCTTTATACTGCAATCATATCTTGTTGTTTTTTTTTCTTTTGGTCAGATGATCTCATCCTTGTTTTTCTTTGGTTTTTTTCTGCGTCTTGTGCATTATCAATATTTGTTGTTCTTCAGGGATATTTAAATCATTAGGCTTAGAGATCTTCTTTGGTAATTTCTGTTTTTTTTTGTTTTCGTTTTCATTTGCTATTTTTTAGCATGCATTCATGGATGTATGTATAAATGTTATTAAAATCGTGTTTTTTTCTTTTCCTTTTTGTTTTTTGATGTGCTTTCAATATTCACTACTGTGTTTTTTTCCATGTATGTGGCGCTAACATCATTGTCAAATCAAACTCAAATATTTGTTTCTTTTTTCTTCGGATTAAAAACAAACAAAGAAAAACAAAAAACTTTGTGTCTGCATGTAAAGAAATATTTATTCCTCAATGTGTCATACATTTTTGACAGAATGAATATGAAGGAGACAATAATTTATAAAAAAAAATAGATATGATAGAAAAATAAATTCTTTTTTTCATTTGCTTTACACATAACAATAATTTCTTTTTGATTTGTTTGTTTGTTTTTTTACTTTTGGATATTCAAATCTATCAATCATGTCTCTTTATCGGTATTTATTAACAGCAGCTAAATCAACTAGTAAAAATTTTCATGCACGTGCTCTTTCTGAAGTTGTTAAACAATTTTCAAAATTTTCTTCTCATGATGAACTTATTGAATATTCTCAGCGTCCTATTGAATATTGTTATGGACATCGTATCATAGAAGCATGTTCACCAAATAATCCAAAACCAATTAATCTAATAAAAGTTGCATCAGATCTTCATAATCAATTATTAGTGCGCATAGCACATTGTATAAGTCATTTTCAATCATTACCATTTTTACCAGCTGCTAATCCAACATTGTTATCATTACATGAACGTTATTTAAAATTATTTGAAACATTAGCAGCTTTTCCAATAATAAAAACTAATGAAGATGAAGAAAAATTTTGTAATTTAGTTACTATGTTTACGTTACAAAATAATGATATTATTGGACAATTATCAATCGGTTGTAGAGAAGCACAAAAATATTTTAAATCATATAAAACTATGAAAGAATTCCTTGATAATGTTTTACAAAATCGTTTATCAATGCGTTTACTTGCTGAACATTATCTTGAATTACATACACAACAAAAGCAAAAAAAATTAAATAGTAATTGGTGTGGTGCTATTTGTATGAATTTTTCACCAGCTAAAGCTGTTCAGCAATGTATTGATGATGTCTCATCGATATGTTTTGAAACATACAGTGTTGTACCATATGTTCAAATAGAAAATAATATGCATGAACCTTTACCTTATTTTCCTTCTGTTGTCGAATATATTTTACGTGAATTATTAAAAAATTCTATGCGTGCTATTATTGAAAATAATAAAATCTTATTAGGTAATATGCAACATGTAAAAACATTTCTCAACGAAAATCGACAAGATGCATTATGTAAAGTTTTAATTACATCAGATCCTGATGGTGAACATTTTACTATTGCAATTCAAGATCAAGGTGGTGGAATTGATGAAACAAATGAAAAATTATTTCGATATATGTTTACTGGTAAAGAAAATATAAAAATAAGATTTTTCTTTCAGTTGAATTCTTTTATTTTCTTTGTTTATTTTGGTTAAGGTTATATAAAAGAAGAACAAGAAGATGAAGACACAGATGTCATAGCTGACTTTCAAGAACGCATCATACAATCGTAAGTAAAGCGTATTTGGAAATGAGAAAAGAATAAATTTTAAAAATACTCATCTTTAAGGAAACTTATTAGGGATGTAATAGTGATAGTGCATCGCACCGATGGTAAACACATGATAAAACTGTAGTGCTAGGTTTTCAGGATCTGAGATAGTGATGAATGAGACCAATCTTTTTTTTAGTTTCTGTCAAATAAAAATTTTCAGTTCTGGTTTCATGCTTGGTAATACATGAACTAGCGAAAAATGCGGTGCCATTTTCTAGCAGTGTCAATGTGCTCGAGACATCTTGCATGATTCGCATAATCTCTACTATCCTCTCTCTTAGAAATTCATTAGTTATTTTAATTCATTAATACTTCGTCTATTCTGCACGTCAATATATTTGACAACTTTGCTGTTAACGAAAAAATCGATTAATTTTACTATTTAAATTGTGACAGAAAATGACTATAAAAGATATCACTCTCAATGAAAAAGTATTGGTCCTATTCCTTCTCTCGATTCCAGCCGGACCGGGAACATCTTGCCTGTAAATAATCCAGGAGCCTGAATCTATAGAAGGTTTGTCGAAATTCTTGAGTTCGATTTTCTCTTGCAAAAAAGGTTTTTGTTCTCACGATACGGTGATTTTTGTTTTATAAAATTCAGCTATTTTTCTGATCGAAAAATTTGAAAGGAATCTAAGACTACCATAGTTTTATCAGGCGTTCACCGTTATTCTATACGTGCATGTCTAAATCATTGCAACACTATACTTAAGAGTGGTGTACCATTGACCACTCTCACCGTTGTATCCCTAAAACTTATTATTTCTTGTCATGGACGGTGCAAATTCAGCATCGTAGGACAAGCAATAAAGTTTTGAATGGGTTCATTTTGTCACCTGTTCCGCTTCAATAATGGGTAGTTCGGCAGTAAAAACTTTCTTTTGCTTCAAGTTAATGTTTCTCAAAGGTATAAGATTTGAAAGTTTGAATTTTAACTCATCTGTAACGATATGTTACGAACTTCATATTAGTCTAATACATTTTATTGAAAAATAGATTTATTCAAAATAATTTAGCAAAAACTCAAATCTTATACTAATACTGGTCGTTTACTGATCATAGTGTTCTTGCCATAATATTCATATAAGCAGTTCTGTGAAATTTAAAGAAGTATATAAAGGTGATGTCGTCCAGATTGCTCATGTAACTATTTGATTTTAGTAGTTCGTTGATCTTCTTTGCGATCGTAAAGTAATAGCTAAGGTTGTTCTTTCAGACAATTTAATTTTAAATGAAAAATAAACCAAATTATAAATTTTGTTAAAAAAAAACTAAAAAGAAACAATGAATATCAAATGACAAGCGCACTTTAATTGCTACCAAACATTAAAGAAGATACATCATTGTATTTCACTCATAAAATGTTGGTTAATCAAGCTATAATTCTTTTGTTCAAAATAGTCAGTATCAGATGGCAAGTCTTGGATCGACACCATTAGTATTGATTCGGTGACAAACTTTTGAATTAGTCTACTCTGGCATGGGAGAGTTCAAGATAATTAAAATGTCAGATGTTTATATATATGATGCGAAGTGCATTCATCAATATAGCAATAAGCAAAATCATGAGACTATCTATCAATCCTCCTACATTAACTAGAATCGTATTGAATATATGCATGTTGTATTCAGTGGTCTTACTTCAGTATACACAGTAGGCATAGAAGCAATAAGTTCCTGTTGCTTTCGCAAAATTATTTTCTACGGAAAGCAATTGCTACCTGTTGTAGTGCTGGTGTATTGCCCACATTTCTTTAAAAAAGTCCTTTTTGAATATTATCATTAATTATTATTTTAAAATTGTTCTTTAGATCGAAACAAATGTATGGTCATGGTATTGGTCTTCCTATTTGTCGTCTTTATGCCCAATTTTTTGATGGTTCTCTGACATTACGACAAGTATCACGTATTGGTGTTGATGTATATCTTCGTCTTGGTTTTATTCATACCAAGTCCGAACGTATAAAGATCTGAAGAATCTCAATAACTTTTTCTAGAATAGTTTCTGTTTTTACTTTATTATACTTTTTTTGTCCTATTTGATAAACATTCCTTTGCGCCATTTTCTATTTTCTATTTAAACTACAAATAAATAAAACGAACATGACTGCTGTACAACGAAAACTTGGTCGTCGTTATCAAAGATATATATCAGCCCGACAAACATTTGAAGATAAAGAAGATGATCCAAAAGATATTTGGGAACGTATTATTAAAATGCCCGATGTTTTATCAGCAATGGCAATTGATATACAAACAAATGATATATTTCCATTATATGGTTTAAATAATATAGCTCGGAATGACATGAATAGTTTTTGTCGTGAATATATTGAAATGGCTGTTGATTTTTCTTTAAATATGGATCCAACTGATGAAGTTAAAAATTTACGTATAAGAAGTCAAGAACGTGAAATTGTTATTGCATATGATGAGGGAACAATTTTTGTTATTATACAATCATTATCAAAAGAAAAAAATATTGTATTACCAACGTTGTCACTCGATCTATGATTAAGAAAAATATTTTCTTAAATATAAAATATGTGAACGATTTTCATATAGTTGTTTCTTAATCAATTGCAATAAAAACATCAAATGTCTGACGTGAGACTGAGCGAGAAGGAAAGATCTAGGCAAAGGCTGAAGAAAATTGATAGTAACAATGTGGACTTACGATGTTTTTCAATGTCTTTCCAAGTCGTCAAGAATTTCTGAAAACGTTCCAATTGCGGTTCCCATTTAAGTGCTTTCATGTCCATTCAAAAGATACGAAAATCATTCATTTTCATCATAAAACCTTCGTGAAGACGCCTGACAAGGCAACACTTGCATCTGAAAAACATTCAAAAATTTTCTTCGATAATTCTTTTGACGTGTTTTGTAAGGTGACTTTTTATACGTAATCTATATTCACAGTATTCTGAAAGAAGTAGTCTTTTTAATTGTCTTCAAGCAATTTTTATGAGGAAGATAGCTGATTTTGATATTTTCTGATTATACATGAAAACGTTCCACCCATAGTCTCACAACCTTTAAGCGTCGATGTTCCTTTAAGTTTTTCAATCTTCTTAAAATAAGGTTCCAGTTTCATCTGGAGAAAATTAGAACTTCAATTTTGACTAAGCAAGTCTTGAACGATTTTAGAAAGGGTGATGCAAAAGTTATCGGAATATGTACGTTTTTATTGAATACAAGACTTCAAAAAATATTATTTCATTAAATGTTCAAAGTATATGCTGTTATTTGTTATTCATAATTTCATTCGATCAATCCATTTGCGAAATGTTTTGTGAAACTCTTTGGCTATAGATTGTCAGAAAGATTTATAATCAGAATAACTGCCTAATTATTCTTTCAAATAGCCATATAGAGCTCAAAATCAGATGATGCAGCTTTATGGCGTGAAAACTAGCCTTTGATCATTATTTTCTGACATTGTTACACACAGGTTTCAGAGAATTATCTTTGGAGTAAGTAAAAAAATATTATGTTGCTGGATTGAACCATGTGCATAAATCCCATTACTGTCGTTCTCCGGAAGACGGCAAATATGTTCTTTTCTTCGTATTGGCATCACCTGACCACTGTTGTTAGGATTGAATCTTTAGAACGCCATGTTATATTGGACTGTTTTGAATCAATGCTACGATGATAAGTCCATGTTTCTTCCCCTGTAATAATATATTACATAGGCGACATTGAACGATTTCCAATTTGCCAAGATTTTATTGACATATGTTAATCCTCTATTGCTTGCATTTTTCGATCAGCTAATATGATATTCATCTTCCGCACAATCTCTCTCAAATTCGATTCGTCGCAGATGATGCTTGCTAATGGTGCTATAAGACGGGTCACTTTCAAATACCATTGATAGAATGCTAATGTGTGGGTTTTTCTTAATTAACACACGAACGGCTATAAAATGTTTTTCTCGGTGAGTTCGGTTACTCGTCAGTCAATTCTTGAATCATCTTCTAAAGAGGTTTTATCTTGTTTGAAGTGTTGTACTTACTCAGTTATTGTGGTATTGCACGGTACATGACCGTCATCTCCTGCATCACACAATGCCGTATGAAATAGCCTTGCTATACAGCTCAGTTTTACTCTCGTACAAATATAGAATCGAACGTAGATCTTATCAATCTAAAAATGTACAACTGAGAATAGAAAAAGAGTTATATAGATGTCGAAAGCAAACAATAAGAGTTCAATCAGGTCAATCTGTTGGCCAGTCCAGATACTTTTTCAATACTTGAAAAAAGTTCTCCATCGTGCCGAAACAACACGAATCGAAGATAATTCCAAGAAATTTTGAATTACTCTATGTAACTTTATTACAAGAAACTCGAATTAGATTCATCATTTTCTGTTTAAAAAAGTTTGTTCTCTATTCATCATACTTTCTAATATGTCATAAATCATTGGATGTGAATTCGAGAGAAACATGATTTCTATGATTTACGATTGTTGCATAACAGCCTTAAACACTTTTACGAATAGTTTTGTATCGTAGATTCATTCAAATATAAAATTTATGGTTATTAAGTGTTTATTGTCTAGAAACGAAACTACCAAATATAAATGCTTTATTGACTGTACAATAATGAATACTTTGAATATATAGAATTTGAAATAATACTTTTGATTTTTATTAGTAATAAGCTCTCTTGTTAAAACCTTTTTCAAAAACTTAGATTTCTTTTGAAAAATTAATAAATTCTAACAAATAGACCAACATTAATACATAATAAAGTAAACTATTACAACAATGAAATTAATACTACTGTTAACATATGCTAATATTATTTGTTCTTTATAATAGAAACTTCATGACTAATTGTTACTAATGAATATTAATCTCAAACAGTTGTTTAGTTTTTCTTTGATAAACTTGACATTGATTTAGTTATTCTTTTTTGACATAGTCACACAAAAAATACTAAGAATTCATATAAAATTAACAAGGTTAATTCCAACTTCATAAACGAACCCTAAGAAATTTTGCACACATGCATTCATCTTGGACGAGACTAATTTATCAATGAGAACTTAAAACTTATTCACAGAATGATCGAAAATCATTTATCATGTTTTGACGAATTTAGGTACTGGAAATAATAATGAATGTAATACACAATGTGTATTATATATTGCCTCTATCGAATACTTATTGACATGGTTTGATAATGTATCGACAATATGCAAATCCAAGTATTAATCCTTATAAATAAAAAGATTATCTCAACAAAAAGAAAAAAAAAAGATAAATAATCCTCTAACAAAATGTCACACATCATCTTTAATGTATTTTTTTTCTTTTGAATATGAAGAAAGATTTATTTAGGCTTCAGGTTTTTAGCTTTAAAGAATATTTTGTTTGGTAATCAATTTTATCGATAAACTGATTTCATATATGCTGATTTGTTATCGAATATAACGGATAATGCAAAAGTTTCTGGGAAAACTATAGAATACAGTTCAATTAATATTATCATATGAAGAAAACATGCATTAAAAAAGATGAGAAACGTACATCGAGACGTACGATGGAAGAAGTAAATAAACAGGAGAGAGATACGCAGGGACGTTCTGAATTGATCAAGATTAGGAGACACATTCAGGTTTTTTTTCAACTGGATTACTGTTAGTTTTTCTTCCGCTATTTATGACGCAGGAAATCTGTTGAATTTCATGAGTATCCTACATGATTAAAAAAGAACTCGCTTTTTATTTCCGTTGTTTGCGAGGATGAAAAATTTTCAACACGTGTAACACCGAACCCGTTCGCACTATCGACTGTAGATTCCAATCATGCTTTCTAAAAACCATAATAAATTGAAGTTTCCTTGAATTAAGATTTAAGTCTTTGAAAGCTATGTGCGTTTATGCGATTGGCACTACTTCTTGGTGCGAAACAATTTGCAGGCTGATTAAAAATTCCTCTAACTCACGTCATTTCATTCGAAAGTTTCAGCTGTCTTTAAAAGTCATTTACAACACTTCTTAAAAATATCTACTGCTGAAGACGTTCGTGCTCAAAACTGAAGTTCTTCAGACGTAAAAACAAGTTAGCAGATTCTCAATACTTATTTGTTTTTCGGCATTTTGACTAATCACAGTAATTGAAATTTTCCATTATTTTCAGGGGCGTTATACTTCCGATACTCTCATGTAAAGCCTGCTTTAGAAAAATCAAGAACATCTATTCAAAATCTACGTTAAATGCTCTTTCTAGTCATGTATTCAAAGAAATTTATTATGACATTGTTTAAGATAACACTGAAGAACAACCCAACCGCGAACCTCTCACCATTTTTCTGATCGATATTCGTATTCATCATTTCTGCAGATCGACGACATAAACCTTTCGACGCATTTGTATCGGTAGTATTTCGAGTTTCGTGTAATTTTCGTATGTTTTCATAAAATGGCAAAGTAATTTTGTATTGTTTGCTAACAAGTTTGTAAAGAATTCAACGGTAAATCTGAAGGAACAATAAGGAGCAACCAAATACAATAGAACACGTAGGAGAAAACCATGCATCGCAGGGTCCCGACAACCTCTGCAGAGAAAGCTTGTTTTTCAACGGCTGTTTCACTAAGGTCCTGACAGAGATTACGATCCGTGCATAATTCAAAATTATTCGAAGATCAGTTTCTTCTACTGCAGTCATTGCAATTCGCATTTTACAGAGCACCGTTTACTACTGTTCGAAGATTTGTTTTCACTGAATAACAAGATACGATAGAATTTTTTTTGAACACACAGTTCGAAAGAGCGTTTAATATAGCATTTGGATAGGTATTGGAGATTTTCCCGAAATTTATTTCAGCCAATACAAAATGAAACGATATGTTTCCATCACACGTTACTTATACAAGTTCACCTAATGAAAATCTTGTTTTTAATTCCGATCAAGATTCTTGTCGATGGACACATTCAATACACTTCAGTGCTAGTATTTCACCAAGGTTATTATTCATTTGTGGACATAATTACATGCTAATATATAATAAAAAGAAAAATGATATCAGCTTATTTTTTATTTAGACATCCATGCGTATTGAGTAACGTACACTTCACAGAATGCCAGCACTTGAATATAATTCAATACATTAATCCTTTTCTTGCTCGTTGAAGGAAAGCATTATTCGAACTTGAATAAAACACAACGAAGCAATAAGAAATGATTCTATATACACAAATAAATATGATTTATTTTTATTTTTCAAAATGCATATACTATGTGGCATTAATCTGAATAACAAATCAATTTTTCCAATTCGTATAGTTAATAGAAAAAATGTATGAATCATTGTTCTTAAGATTTTTATTACTTTATTTTATGTAAGTTAGTTTTTTTGATAATGTCATCAGTAAAGATTACAGAATTGCGAGTAGAGCTGAAAGACAATTTCACAGAATTAAAACTTCGTAAGTATGTAGAGTTCTACAAAAAAGAGAAATAAGACAAGAAAAAGTTCTTTATGCAACAAACTCTTAGAAAATTTGATTATGTTGAATAAATAACTCTTCTCTTTGTCTATTCATCCTAATTTTTTTTTTGAATCAATTATACAAATTATACATTTAACGTGGTTTTGATTTATTAGTATAGAAGTCTATTATGACGCAGCATGTGTCTAGAATTACTTGACATTACAATCTTTGACAGTATGTAATAATAATTTAGTTAATTATCGTTGATATTTTCCTTAATAACAAACTGGGACATAATTTTATTAAACTCAAGTTAAAACAATACAATTTTTCATAATTATTACAATTAGAAAATATTATTTTATGTATAATTAATCTTGTTGTCGTGTAATGTAAAATAGCGGCATCTGAAGTGTTATTATTGTCAGTAACCTATGCTCATAAGTCATAGTTACCTGACAGAATATGGTAGATAATCATAAAAATAGAAAAAGAAAATGTTCTTTCTTTCCTACTTTCATATTCAAGAAAAAAAAAGAAGATGAAAGAAAAGTAGAGAACGTCCAACACTTGGATCCATACTATAGAGAAAAAGCACACTTGCGTCGTCATTTTATGACAATTGCGTGTCATAAAGCAAAGAAAAAAAAAATTTCTTTTTTTCTCCTTCTAATGACGGATCATGAAACTATTCAACAAAAATACATAGAGTTCGGTCGTTATGTGTACTATTGGATGAATTGACGAAACAAAAAAGAACGTGTAGATCTTAATGCAAACAAGAGATAATTCATTCTCAAATAAAAGACAAAATAATTTTGATCACCCGCATTGTATTTCTTCTTCCTGTTTAGATAAAACAAGTAGTATATTTTTATATGGATGGCTGTGATCAGTTTTGGTTCAACAACCACACTAGAAGCTGGTCAACGTCGTTCAAATGCATGTTCATTACCCTTACATTATATACAAATATTAGGAATAATTGTTATCATATTTCTTATTTTAATGAATTATTTAACATTATGTGTTAATATTCCAACACATCCTTGGCAATGGTTAAGTATTGTTATATCATCAATAATTATTCTCCCATTTTTAATTGCTTTCATTATAATATCATTTTTGGATCCAGCTGAAGATGCAGTAATAGATCAAAGTCGTGGACCGAAAGCTAATTTTGATCGTCATATGCATCAACATGTTATAACAAATCTTTATTGTAATATATGTGAAGTACATGTTACAACTAATGCAAAACATTGTTCATCATGTAATAAATGCATTTATTCATTTGATCATCATTGTATATGGCTTAATACATGTGTTGGAGGAAAAAATTATCGCCTGTTTTTTTCGATGTTAATATTAGTTGTTGTGGGAACATTATTTGTATTTATAAATAGTTTACTTCAATTTATTGGTACATTTCAAGATACATCGTCAAAATTAAGTTTAAAACCATATTATAGTTTAGGTAAATATAAAATATTTGAGATAAATTCTTTTTTCTTTCTTTGACACGAAAAAACTCAGACAATTATTTTTCTATTGAATAGCACCTCCAGAGGTACAGAATCTACCCGCGTGTGCTCACGGCCGTTTGGGGAAATCTTTTGATTCTTAGGAGCATTTTCAGGAAATAGCTGAGGGAAATAAACCCTCGTGCGGGGAAATTTTTTAAAATCAAGGGAGATTCTGTACCTCTGAGCACCTCAATAACTTGATCAATTATATGATCTTATAGAAATATAATCAAAAACTAAAAAATGACCTTGATATTGTTTTTTTATCATGAATTTTATGATAGGAACATTCATCAATATGAGAATTTGTTATTTCTAAACTTCTGCTTTTTCAAAATAAATAAAAATCATAAATGCTCAATTGATTCGATGTTATCTAATGAAAAAAGTAAGCGAAATTCTTTTGTACAAATAAATCCGACAACGTAAACATGGAAAAAGAAAAGCGAAGTATTGACATAAGTAAATCGAAATATGGACTATTACAATATAAACAATCCTTTATTCATGAATAATCTTCACTTGAAATAAGGTGAAAGAAATATACTTTTATTTTAATCGGACTAAAATATTAAAAATTTTTAATCATTTTAGAACAAGAAAAAAAAAGAACAATTAAGTTATTTTTCATAGATTATATTTATCAGTATTTCAAATAGTTATAGAAGCAAAAAATTTTTAAGCTCAATGAGAATTTTTCATACGTCATATTACTATATCTGAGAACGTTCTATAAAAGATATATTTGTTAGATTATATTGAAGTCTTTGAGACAGATGACTGCATATTACTAATGAAATATGATAGTTCTTGAGTACTATAAAACTGAACGCAATAAAGCTACTCTATGAACGGAAATATTTTTGTTCGCTATTATACTTTCTAAATAAAAGTCGTAATATTAACAGGTTTTTCAGGAAGAATGAATCTTTGTGCACTTTAATGATATTTGTTATAATATTTAATGACTCAGGTATGACTTTTTTAATCTTCTGTAGAATAGTATATTTTTTATTAATGTAAATAACCTCAATTATTCTAAAAGGCATGCTTCCAATGAATAGTCAAAGATAAAAAGAAAATTCTAAAACAACTTTTGTCGAGTTTCTTTGATTGCATGTTTTCATTATTTTATAAAAATATATTTTGATGTAACTCTTTTGTTATAAATGTCAACAGTAATGAATTGCTTCAAGATAAGTTCAAAGTTTAAGCCTGCACTTTTCGACGATAGGGAAAACATTCTTCTAACATCATTCTTGAGTTAATTGATGGATATGAAATTGTGTACAAGTTTTATTTCGAAGATTACATTTTCATATGTTGTGTTATCCAACGACAATTGTGAATTTATTGAGCGCGTCTATTATCCCTTGGTCAAAATGGCTGCCAATGCTAAACAACAGGACAGTGCATATTTTCATATCCATCAATTAACATCATAATAATGCTAAAGCATTGTTTTTTTGACTAATATTTGAAAATAAGCCATGTCAAAAGATACTTTTATTAAACCAGTGGCATAGCCAACCATGAACTATTTGACAATCGCTCACCGATCAAAAAGTTATTACCTGCGAACTTTCTGTGCTAACGACAATTACTCAATGGTTCAACAGTAACTCCCCACAGATTTTGTCTACAACGGTAACAGCTGTACATGACTAGAAAATTCCTAGTTACACCATTGTATTAAATAATTGAAATGGGTTATTTATATAAATAAAAATTATGGTATTTTATTAAAAATAAAAAAAAGCGAAATTCGAACCAACGGATATAATAAGAGATATCATTAAAATACCCCAAAGCTTATTCTTTCTGAAATATCCCTTTGTATGATCGACTCCATGAAATAGGCTTATATGAAAAATACGTCGTAATATGTCGACAAAACTTAGTTTCTTTGCAAATAAATTATATTAAATATTTTATTTTCAATTAGATCAATATGCTATATTAATGATTCCATCATCAAAAATTGCATTTCAAGTTATATCAGCCATTATTTCATTTATCTCTCTTGTTGCTTGTGGAATGGCTGGATATCTTCTTGCTTTTCATATTTATTTATGTAAGTTAATAAAAACAATAAATCAAAATTAATGTCCAATATTGATATATTCTTTCTTTTCTAAGGTTATAATCATATAACAACATATGATTTTGTCATTAGTCGACGACATCATCGTACAGTTGATGAAACTATATTACAATTTAATCAATTAAGTCGAAATCAGAATAGTGTATCAACAGAAACAACAAGACACTCGTCAAATTTATCAAAACTTTTTCCTCTAAAGGTTTATTTCATACGTGAATAATTTATTTATTTTAAATCAATTGTTTTTTTTTGTTTGTTGTTAGAGGAAAAAAAATAATCGAGTTGCAATAACAAAAGAAGATGGTCATAATACATCTAATGAATCCAATCAAAATCAAAATGGACAAATTTTTACTATTGAAGGACATAATGTATGAAAAAACAACCTAATCCTTAATAAAAAAGAACCTATTTATCAACTATTAAAATATCTCTAGAGAGACAGTCCACGACATTTACAAGTATGTCAAAGTACGAATCGAGAGTCTTATGTTTATAATCGCTCATATGAAGGAGTAGATGAATGAAATTCAAAGTAATTATTTGCTTAAAAAAAAAATTAAATGCGCTAAACAATCATCTATTGTGACAATGATGTATTATTGAAACAATCAGTACTCTCTTTATTTTATTTTATTTTTTTTAAATACTGCTGTATTTGTTATTTATTTAAAAAACTAAAAAAAGAAGGCGATATATGCTACTTTAAATTATATGAATAATAAAAAACAGACAGAAAAAATATAACATTTTTTCTTCTTGTATTTTTTATAGATGTCACAAAATCAATTAGTTCTCTTAGATGCTATTGAAAAAGGACACACTTCAATCGTACTTAAACTTCTACGAAATCATATTGATTTAAATATCAAAGATATTTATGGAAGAACACCATTAATGATTGTTTGTTGGATTTTATTATTTCTTATATCAAATGAGAAAAAAAAAGAAATTTGATTTAATTATTTTAGGCAGCTAAAAACGGTCGAAATGATATTGTCAAAATTTTATTAGAACATATAGGAACAAAAAATATTGAAGTTGATCACGGTGGAAAGACAGCGTTACATTATGCAGCTGAAAATTCAGAATTATCTGTAAGTAACGGGTGGCACATGCTGAATGGAACAAAATCTTTTGTTCTTTCTAGAACATTTCTCAAGAAGAGATGAGCAGGATCAAAACAGCTTGGTTCCGCACATCTTTAATCTTGACACATGAGAGACTTTGTTTCAGTCTCATTCAATAGCGAATTTCCTGCTCTACAAAACTATCGTCTTTGTTTTTCAAAATAGCTTTTTTCTGTTAGTGCAAAATTTGAAAGATGAGCATCTTCTTCATTGACATTTATCCATTTGTGTCAGGATCAATGCCAAAAGTAAAGTATTTGGCATCAATGGATAGAGAATTTCGTGTTCTCTGCTTTCACAATGTTTTCAAGGTTTTTGTTGCTGTTATGCAAAAGAAAAAGACTCTGAATCAACACATAGTGGTATTCTGAAACGTATTATGTAAAAAACATGTTTCCCAAAGCAAGACTTAGTCCTAGGCCGTCAAGTATAGAATTTAATTCTGAACAAAATTTTTCTCGCGTATATTTCTTCTAAAATCCTGAAACACATTACAAGGTACAGAGTTTTGTGGAGAATTTTGTAGTATATTTAAAATTTCAATGAAATCTTTATGAAAAGCTTTATGTTTTTCGACTGTCACAGTTAGAGATTGAGTAGGTGTTTGTCTTTTAAGTTTTACAATTACAAGTAAAAAAACTATTTAAAAAACAAAGTAGTTTTCTAGAACAGGAAATTATATATTGAATGAGTTTAAAATGTGTTGAGAAGCGCTCTCAAAAGAGAAAACATGTTATCCCATTTAGACATGTGCTACTCACTTTAATTAATTCTATTTGAAGAAAAACAAAAAACTTGAATAAAATAAATAACTGTAGGTGGTAAAAATCCTGTCTAAACATCAAGCAGTATCGATTACCATGACAACAGCACAAACAAAACTTTTACCACTTGATTATGTTCTTGGTAATGATAATGTTTATCCATTATTGAATAAATATACTCAAGGTGGACAAGTGAGTGCTGGTGAAACAGATAACGATGATGATAATGTACCAAAAGCTGGAATTTATATAAAAACGAAAAAGAAAAGTGGTGGTAAGAAGAAGAAAGACGGCTCAAAAAAGAAAAAGAAAGGTGGAAAAAAGAAAAAATAGACATTAAAGTTTTATTTATAAATACTTGTATTATGTCTACTATTTGTAATAATTTTTTTATTAAAATTTTACTCCAATAGTTCTTTATTTTTTATTTCTGTAAACGAAATAAGAAATCAATGAATGCATGCAATGATATTTTAGTTTAATAAAACAACAACTCGTAAATATGTAACAACAGTTGTTTTCGTGCTTTAGTTTTTAAATATTTTAATACAACTTTTAGTCAAGCTGAACAATTCAATAATTTTCGATTGACATTTTAAATTTAAATCTCAAGTAAAATTTCATTGAAATTTTTCGTTCTGTTTGGTACAAAGAATTAAAGCAAAGTATATTGTTAAACATCATGAAGCACACGTAAAACAAGAGAGTTCAATTAACAAATAGTTATTTGATAGATACGATTTTAGGAAAGAGAAGAGAATTTTATATTGAAATTCAGTTGTAATTAAAGATAAATACTAAAATTCAATTGAAATAAAATTTAATTAACAGCTAAAGAAACGAGGTGTGCCTCAATTACACATGAAAAGGAAGTTAGTCGATTATATTTTCTCATCATTCTTGAAAATAATTGAGTTAATTCACTCGCATCTGTTAGAGACTGGAATGGAAAAAAATTTTTTGTTTCTCACTCCACTCTGCCCCGCTTTACCCCAACTTGAATTATGTTTTTTGATTCTTGGCCCACCCCGACCTTAACTCTTTGTACTTCTTTGATTAGTCCAGAAAATAATTGTTTCCGCTCGAAGCTTAATTATCATTTCTCATCTTCCTCGTCCTATCTGCACAATATATTTGTTTAATTAAAAAGTAAAAATATTCATGAAAATATTATTTAAAAAAAATTCGATAGTAAATAAACCAATAATTATGAATTCATTTTTAATGGACATAAATATTTGTAATCACCACTACTAGTAGTTGTTTATCTAATCAACACGCAGTTATTAAGATGATACTTAGAGATACCAGAAAAGGAACTTTTAACTTGAGATATCTATTTACGAAAAAAAAACATTTCGTTGATCTGTTAACCACAAAATATGCAAGACTGTTTTCACGATGTTCGATACGAAGTAGTTATCTTTTTACTCAACTCTTGAAATATGTTTTCATGTGCAACAAGAAGTATGAAATAAAGGGTCGCGTTCACTTTGCCGACAGATACACTTTGCCGACAAAATTTGTTCATATCTTTGTCTACTAAATCTAGTAGTTTCCAGGGTACACCACGAGGGTTCTTTCTATTCTTCCGTGCACATAGTTATTTTCGAACCATTGAATAATTGGTTCAGCATCAGATGGTAGTAAAGTTTTGACTTCGTCAAAAGCATCAGGTATTTCCACAGGATTTAAAAAAGGTAAAGCTGGAATATGTCTTATAAGAAGACTAAAATTTCCGTCAGCTCCGTATTTTTTGGTCAATCCTGCGTCCTGAATTTGTCTGTATACAGACTGACCTAAATGAAAATGACAGCCTTTGCTTTGAGTGCCTGGAAATTCTGATTTTACTGCATTGATTGAACCTTTTTCAAAATCAGTTAATACAAAGTCTGGTTTTAATTCCAATTGATTTTCTTCTGCCAATTCATTTAGTTCCTGAAATAATCTTTGATATAGTTCTTCGCTTTTCTTACTCATCAGTGCGTAAACCAATGGAACAATTCGGAAATTAACATTTCCGCCAGCAGGCGCGTGAAAACTATACAATTGCCGAAACAAAGTTGGGGCAGTTTTAAATGTTCCGTCCATAATCCAGAATTGGACTTCTTGAAGCCATTTAAGATTTTCAGTTGTTGTAAAAAGCAAAATTCTTTCAGTTCCATCAGTGATGTCCTTTGCAAAACTCATTCCACTGAGTGTAAGAGAGTACACATCTGGTAATTCAAAAGCGTCCAAAGTTTTCGGCTCAACTTCTTTGTCACAAACACGTTTTGCTCTTTTGATTTGTTGTCTTAGAGCATCTTTTCATGGTAAACACGGTTGTATTTCACGCGATGTTGCAGCAATAACGTTACTAATAATTTGTGCAGGTTAGTCATTACTAATTTTGATCAGCTCCTTCATTTGAACGCATGCTTTTTTTAAACTTCAGGTTTGCTTGCTTCTGGAGCATGATTGTGCTGTTTAGCATCAAATTTACGAATCTTATGCTGGTCCCCAATACAAATCGTTGTAGCTCTTGCAGTTCATTTTGATTCCTTTAGCTCTTTGCGTTCGCAAACGCAATAATACAAATCATCGCGGTTTTTATCTTTGATATATAAAAACTCGTCAATGTTTATTTTTAATTTGCCTTTTGTAGAATTAATCACTTCAGCATAACTGCTTGAAGCGCTGTCACTGCTTTGACTTGAAGCCATGATTAAATTATAATTTATCTCATGGATAACAGCTGTTTTAAAAAGTTTTCTGCTGCAATATTTTCAACAAATTTCAATGTTTTTCACTTTAAATTTTTGTCGGCAAAGTGATCCGGACTTGAAATAAATATTCTTGGTTATTCGTATGATTACGCTTGTTCAAAATATTCTGAAATATTGTCGACCATCAGGGGTACTATACACACCTTTAGTTCGATATTATCACTGGCGATGAAGCGCACATTTACTGTATTCGTATGAAATTAGAAGAAGTAAAAGGTCTTCGAAGTATTTTTAACAATTATCAACAATATTTGTCATGTTTCGCACTATGATTGGGATATTATTTAGCATACAGAGTTTTCTAGAGCATCTAAGGTGGTCGGAAAAAGCTTCAGCATAACATATTTTTGATATTCTTGCGTATAATGTTAAGCAATTCATTAAAATCCATATAATTACTTTAATAGTGGGTGAATTTTTCTATCTAATGCATTTCGTAACAAAATTTTACATGGCAAGGTTCCTAAAAAACCGAAAACAGTAGGTTTCAGGACCCAGAATATATTCTTTAACAATATCATTTTAAAGAAAATAAAATGAGAGATGGTCACATTTTCTATGATCTCCTCTAAACACTTAAAAGTATCACGAAAATCATGAAACACGAAATTTATCAAAAAATCGATTAAAGATGACATTTTTTGATTTTTGTGATACTCTTAACTTGTTAAGGGAAGATTGTAGAAAACGCAGCGATCTTTCCTTTTGTTCTTTTTAAAATGACATTGTTAAAAAACAAATACCTTCTGGGATTTAAAAACTACAGTGTTCAGTTTTTGTTAAATCTTGCCGTCATAGTTCATCTATAAAATTTTCCTATAGAATGCATGATAGATAGAAATCTCCATTGGCTATTAAAATCACTATTTAGATTTAACTGAACTGCTTGACGTTATAGAAAAAAGATTAAAAAAATACGTTGTCGTTAAACTTTTTTTCTACCATCTTATTGATGTTATCTATGTTTTGTACTTAATGCTTAGAATTATAAATGAAAAATCAATCAAACAAAGAAACATCCCTATGAGCAACTCGTATGAAATTTATTGCGGCATTGTGAATATCATACACGAGATATTGTTAGTAACTATTTTGACGTGGGAGAATTCGAATTTGTGATTCTTCTATCATATTCAGCTGTGGATGGTTTTTCATGCTATTAGTTGTTCAACCTTGTTCAAAATAGACAAAACATCTTAAAGATTGATTAAAAGAATGAAACATCCTTTCGAGCATTTATTTTAGACAGATCAATAGATTCATTAAGTAGTAAAAAGTTTTTAATTTTCCTATATAAAATTTAGTAAGGTAATAAAATCTGTAGTTGAGCATTTACATCGATTATCTATTATCTATCTTCTCTATATTTGATATTTGTAGATTTCCCTTAACTTTGCTCCGGCAAATACAGATCCTGTCCTATTTCGATCTCCAGTCTCCGGAAAGGAATTTTATTGATACGAGTCGTTGTTGTTAGATAAGAAGTGGTCAGAAAAAATTTGCTGATTTTCGTCCGAACTTATGGATATTCGGAGCGTTTCTAGGAAACTCTAAATAGAAGCCGTACAAATTATTTCAAGCTTTTAAGTTCATATTTTACATATAAGTCTAGTTTCACTAGATTAGTACAACCTTCACAGCATTCTTTCTTTGATGATGATTTTGATCGAGATAGGAGTACACAGCCTTTATAGAAATTATAACAACATGAAAAACTCGGACCTCAACCAAAGTTAAATAAAAGAAAAAAATGCTTTGGTGTTTGTAATAATCTAGTAGAGCTACACTTATGGACAAACTATGAAGTCTAACACTTGAAGTCAACGGTAAGATTTTTTTTTAGATGAGCCTAGAAAACCCTTCATATAATTGCCATTTCAGACGAAGAAAATCAACAAATTTTTTTCAGTCAAATCTGTTTTCTCATCACTTCTTCTCGCCTAGCTAACATGATAAAAGTTCAATCAAAATGTTTTTCTTGTAAAGCGAGTGGATACTCATAGATAGATATAACTCACAACAGAACCCAAATGATATGATACGATATTATAGTCCTCTGTTCTCCTATGAAGATGTCGCTTGTATCCAGGGTTACTTTATACTGATTCTGTATGGCTGAAAAAAAGAAGAAACAGGAAAATATGTAATGAATCATATTCCCTCTCCTTCGAATCGTACTCCCGTCATAATGACTTCTCTTCATAGTTAAGTAAACTGTAAGCAAGTGATAAGATAATAAAACCACCCTTCTACAATTATTAGCAAACAAAATTAGACTTTTTTTCATCATTTAAATTCCTTTTTTTAAGATAATTATTAAATATGACGGGGCGACTTCCAGCCTGCGTCATTGATAATGGAACAGGTTATACTAAATTAGGTTATGCTGGTAATAATGAACCACATTTTATCATTCCATCAGGTAAATTGACAAAATAGAAAAAAAAAAGAAGATTGCATATAATCCAAATAAAAATTTCTCTAGCTATTGCTGTCCGAGAACGTCCAGGTGGGAGTCGAATTGGACAATCTGGAGAAGATTTGGATTTTTTTATTGGTGATGAAGCATTTAATGCTAAAGGTAAGAAAACGAAAAAAGACTACTAGATCTTAGTTTTTGGCAAATATTAATTTATCTTTAGGTTATTCTGTAAAATATCCAATCCGACATGGCATTGTTGAAGATTGGGATCTTATGGAAAAATATTGGGAACATTGCTTATTTAAATATCTTCGTTGTGATCCTGGTTAGTAAAACAAAATTTTTTTTTTCTCATCATTTATTGCTTTTGTTTTGTTTACGAATAACAGAAGATCATCATTTCCTTTTGGTAAGATATTTAATTTAACGTTATAAAAAAAAGATCGACATTTGTTTGTTTTCACAGACTGAACCACCATTAAATACACCTGAAAATCGTGAATATACAGCGGAGATTATGTTCGAATTATTTAATGTACCTGGTCTATATATCGCTTTACAAGTAAGTGGAATATATCGTTATATTTCAATGTATTAATTTAAATTTTAAGGCTACACTTGCATTATATGCATCATGGATTGCAAGTGATATTAAAAATATGCTTACTGGTCTTGTCGTTGATTCAGGAGATGGTGTTACCCATGTTGTTCCTGTAGCTGATGGTTATCTTATAGGTATGTGTATAATCACTTTGTTGTTGAAATTTTTGATCTGTTGTTGTTGATTTTTAGGTAGTAGTATCAAACATATTCCAATATCAGGACGTGATATAACATATTTTGTGCAATCGTTATTGCGCGAAAGAGAACCAACTATTCCACCTGAACAATCACTTGAAACAGCTAAAGCTATTAAAGTATTATTTTAAACAATTTTTTTTTTTGGTTTTTTCGATAATTTTTTTTTTTTTTTTTAAGGAACGCTATTGCTACGTATGTCCTGATATTGCTAAAGAATTTACAAAATATGATGAAGAACCACGCAAAAATTATCTACAATATACAGGCATTAATTCAGTTACTAAAAAACCATTTAATGTTGATATTGGCCATGAACGTTTTCTTGGACCGGAAATATTCTTTCATCCTGAAGTATGAATTTGTTTGTTTTGTTTGATAGTAAACATATCACAGACCTACATCAGAGTCATTTTAAGGAGCGAGTCGAAAGTCTCTAAATTGTCTATCAGTAAGGCTACCATAGCTTAATAGTCTGACACGTATTCATATAGTACTATGTTCAAAGCTGGGTACCATCAGCCATGAGATCACCCTCTGGATCATTCACTAGCGGTTAATGTGACCAATATGTGAAGCTCAAGCAATGGAGCGCAAGGATTCTGCGTCAGGTAGGCCATGTGTCCACAGCTACGTCTGGTATTAGTTGTAAGAAAACTATCAAACTATTGAATCTACCGCTAGGCAGCATCCCATACCGAAAGACAGGGTATACTTTCTATCAATAAATTAATTTGAACACTACAAGTTCTTTTTTTCGCGTGATGAGTTAAATTATTTGATATTTATTCTACAAACTGGCGTAGTTTGGACTTGATGGTCTTTACAAAGGTGAGGAAAAAATTGGATTCTACAAGACATATTAATTTGTACAGTGAATACCAAAAAATAAAGCTTCTAATTAGAAAAACTCTTTTATATTAAATGTGATTTATTAGTGAGACATTTAGCTGACTCCGGTATAGATCTTTAAAACATATATAAATCGATATTATGATTCCTTTTACCGTAGTTTTCCAATCCGGAATTCAATACATCTTTATCGAAATTAATTGATGATATTATTCAAGATTGTCCAGTCGATGTACGACGTAAACTTTATGGTGTACGTTAAACTTCTTGATTAATTGATATTAAAAGAAAGTTATCTATCTTGTTTTTAGAATATCGTCTTATCCGGTGGTAGTACGATGTTTAAAGGTTTTGATAAGCGATTAAAACGTGATGTACAACGATTAGTTGATGCTCGACTTCGTGAATCCGAAGAGCTTAGTAAACATAAAGTAAAACTTAAGCAACAAAAACTCTAAAATCGATTTATTTATTTTTGTATAGCCTGAACCAATTGATGTTAAAGTTGTAGCTCATGCAATGCAACGTTATGCAGTTTGGTTTGGTGGTAGTCTAGCTGCAAGCACAGTAAGAAAAATTTTTAAGAAAATAATTAAATATTATTTTTTGTTTACTAGCCAAATTTCTATGAAGTGTGTCATACACGCAAAGAATACGAAGAAAAAGGTCCAAGCATTTGTCGTTATAATGCCGTATTTAACCTTGTGTGAACATGATTTTTTTTTGTTATGTGCTTTTTTTCTCTTGCTCTTAACTTAATACGGAATGAACCTTTTCTGTGTTCTTTTCTTCTGCTTTACTGCTTGGTCTTCCGTCTTCTAGATTTATTCAACTGAGAGAGAAAAAAAAGTAGTATCTTTTTTCTTTTTTTTTCTTCTTTGTATTTCATTAACGGATGATCTCGCTTATCTTCTTATCACTTCGTTATATTTATACAACTAAAACAAACAACATTTTAAATAAAAATTTAAGCTAATCTTTTGATTTTGAAATACATATGTTTGTTTGTAATTTTTCATATGGTATAAGAAATGATTTTTGTTTGAGAATATGTTGAGCTTGATAAAATGGTAACATATATTCAATTGAACAATTACTTGAACCAATGATTGTTGGATAATTAATAAAAACATTTGTTGAATTATTTATTGGTGCAATATTTACAACAAAATTTGATTGAAATTCATTTCCATTGATAAGTGCACGAATAATATGAACTATTAACATTGCTTCTGTCCAATTAGAACGTAGTTTAGTACTCAATGAAATATTGAGTGATTCTTGTCGTTTGGATTTTGCATAAGGAATAGTAGAATTTGGTAAGAGATATTTCATAGCAGTCTGTTGACGTGATATTAAATTGGTAACAATTGGCAATCGACGTCGAACATTTGAATAAACATTTTCATTATTTTCTAGAAGTTTCTGTATGTCCCAATTTTTATGACGTCGTTTTTTTGAAACGTTTTCATTTTCAATATTTGTGGTTTTCATATCACTTCTTATTAATTTCGAATAAATATCTGAACAAGGAATTCCATCAATAGTTAAATTATGCATAAGAACTTTTGTACATGAATCATCAATTAATCCATTGCCAATTACGAAAAATCCATTGACATGACCATGAATGTTTTCGTTTTGATTGAGTATAGTTCTATGCGCATAAGCCGTGGCAATACTTGCACCAAGTCCAAATACCCGTTCAATAGGATATTTACTAACACGTGATGCAACATAGGTCATTAATTCATTTGGTTGTGTACAAACAATTAATGTAGCATCAGGTGAATAAATACACACTTGCGAAACAATATTTTCAACGAGTGAAGCATTCATTTGTATCCATGTTGATATACTTTCAGTTTCTGTAATAGAATTCACATGAAATATATGCAATGATTGTAAAGATTAGTTAATCAATAGATAAATTTTATTTTATTTCATGTATATCTCAAAAATTAAATCAGCTAGAATGATTGGACTTTCATTCAATAGTTTCTGGTATACCGCTAAATTATATCCCAGGTCAATCCACAGATTTGTTTAATTGTAGCTGATGATATAATTGTAGTATGTCTTTTCGTATCCTTCAATAATTATCCAACTTATTCTTTCTTTTTTGCAAACTACTACGGGCTTATTCTAAGTTAGAATTTACTTTATGATGCATGCTTCGATGGGGCACACTGTATTCTACATGATACAGTTTTTATAGATGATTTCCTTTGCGTGAGGGTTAAAGAACAAGATTCTTTTGGCTTACACCGGAAATCTTTAACAGCAAGGTAATACAAGACTTTTTTTTTGATCGGATATTTAGTTAATTAATTGTTCAATGTAGCATAAGAAAGGACACTAAAAATTGCATGAAATCTTTTGTTTTTTATTAATATTTAATGCTAAAAACTGTGCTGGTTATTTGCTATGTATAGATCTTTTTCTGTAAAAGACTCACGGTGGAAATCAAAACTGATTATATCACTTAAATTATAAATAGCAGGATTCGAAAGCTTCCCATGGTCCTATCAATAGATGGGATATGCACCTCGTTAAATAAAGATGTACCAAATGAAACTTAACATAGCACGTTATTCTAAATTTCTTCTTCGATTTACATATATGTGACACGAGAAAATTAACTATTTAGTTAATGAGATCTGAACTTAAGCAAGTTTGTTGAGACTATGGTAAACTTTTTACTTCTCGTATTTATAACGTAAAACAAGTATATAACTTACGTGATATGATCAGTTTTTATTTCAAATAAAAGAGTTTTGTAAGATGTGAGTGTGGATGACTCATATCCAAGGCCTGTCTGTTATTGGCATATGCATAGGTAACGACCAAGACAATTTTTCAGCATTAAATATCAATTAAAATAGAATATCTCATGCGATTCGTAGTGCTCTTACTAATGCTACATTAAACAAAAAATTCTCTAAAAATCATATGAAAAAAGTCTTTTATCGCGTTGCTGTTCAATATTTCAGGTGTAAGCCAAATAATATTGTTCTTTAATCTTTACTCGAAGGAAAACTCCTCTAAAAAAGTACTCATTATGTAGAGCACAGCGTGCCCCATTGGATCATACATGATAAGATAAATTTTAACTTAGAACAACGGAGCAACAGTTTGCAAAAAAAGCATTGGCTGCATAATATTGGAAGGATAAAAAAACGATATCCTGCTATTATATCATCAATAAAAATTAAACAGATCATTCAATTGATTTGGAATTTTTTACTAGTATATCAGAGACTAGGGGCAAAAATCTGATCATTCTAGTTTATCTAATTTTTGACAAATACACAAAATATAATAAAATTTATCTACTAATTGGATAATTTTAACGGATACTATATAAATAAATTATAAATGTCAAACCCAATTGATTATGTTGCACATTTATAATGATAATAGTCGAATCTTTTGTTTCCCAATAAGATTGAACTCTTTCTAGGCGTATATTACATTTGTTAAATAAAGCAATTAACTGAAGATCATTAAGTATGATACGAGCTTGTTGTTTATCATATATATCAAAGATTTTTATAATTTCAATTGATGTTAATTGTCCATAAGCAAGAAGAGCAGCTATGGCTGAGTAAGTTGTTGTATTAATACCGATAAATGTCAGATGACAGCAACGATGTCGAGCTTCACTCGGAGCAACGCGTATAAAAAGACGATTTTGAGTATTAGGCGTTGATGGACTAGGAGGAAAACAAGAGGAAGGATGTAATCTAGGTCGATATTGTGTCATTGATTTTAGCGCTTTTTTAATTAAAATCTATTAAATAACATGTTGTTTCTATATGATATTATTGCTTTGTCTTTTTGAGTAAATACAGAATCCAGCGACCTCTAGTTAAAAAATTGAAGTGCACATTTTCTATTGGATTCATGTTATGAACCAATTCACAACAACACACACAAAGCCTACAAAGGAAGAAAGAAATGATAATTGACAAACAAACAAGCATATTGCTTGTGTGTTATTGCACGACTATGTTGTAATTAATTTCTAGTTAAATATTGCTTGTATTTCTAGATTTTCTACTGTACATCGTTTTCATACTTCATACTCAATCATGTTCGAAGTATGAAATATATTCTCTATGACATATGTAGAATTAAAAATGCTTATATTTAGGCTCGTCTTTTGCACGGTTCAATTTTTGCTAAAGTTATTGAAGGTCTTCGTGAGCTAGTTAATGAAGCAACATGGGAATGTAGTGGTAATGGTATAACACTTCAAGCTATGGATAGTTCACATGTCGCATTAGTATCACTTGTCATGCGAAGTGAAGGTTTCGAATCCTATCGATGTGATCGAAATATGAGTCTTGGCATAAGTCTTGTTAGGTATATCAAACTTTTCAAAAACACGAAAAGTATTTATTCAATTGGCTGTTTTTTAATTATCTAGTATGTCAAAAGTACTTAAAACAATGGGTAAAGATGACTCATTAACTATACGTGTTAATGATGATTCTGATTCAATTATAATTGCAATGGAATCCCAAAGTAAAATTAATTATTTAAAAAAAAGCATGAAAATAAAAAATCATTCAATTTTTTTATTAGATCAAGATAAATTTGCTGATTATGAATTACGTTTAATGGATTTAGATAGTGAACATTTAGGCATACCAGATACAGATTATTCATGTACAATTAAAATGCCTAGTAGTGAATTCTCACGTATTTGTCGTGATATGAGTATAATGGGTGATTCAGTACTTGTTTGTACAACAAAAGAAGGTGTTAAATTTTCAGCTAAGGGTGATCTTGGTCAAGGTAGATTTGTTTTTTTGAATACAATTGTAGATTTTAAAAAGATTTATTTTTTATGTTATAGGTAGTATTCGTCTTGTTCAAACAACGAATATTGAAAAAGAAGAAGAAGCAGTTATTATTGAAATGAAAGAAGCTGTTGCACTTACATTTGCTGTACGATATTTAAGTATGTTTTGTAAGGCAGCACCACTTTCGCCTCAAGTTAGTTTGAGTTTATCTGAAGATACACCATTGAGTAAGTTGTTTTTTCTGTATATAGATTTTGATTTTATTTGTTTGTTTTTAAATTAGTGTGTGAATTCAAAATTGCTGAAATGGGTCATGTTCGCTTCTATTTGGCACCGAAGATTGAAGATAATGAAAGTTGAAAAAAAATCGATTTTCATAATTTAATATCTATAAACTCGTCAGATGGATGTTATTATAATTATATTTTTCATGTCCTCTATTTTTTTTTCGTTGTCCTGTAATTGTATAAAAGTGAAAAAATATTAGTTTTGTTTGTTTGTCTATATTATGACAAGATTTTGATGGAGTAGAATTCTTTTCTTTGTCTTATAAAATCATTTACTTAATACATATAACAATGATTTCTGCTCTTCTCGTACTTTCAGATTTCATAAAATGAGTAATACTGTAAGTTCGTCAAATGATTCTATTCGAAAGAATAAAGAAAAAAAGACTAGATGTTTTTTTTTGATCATAGACAACAACTAATGACTCTTCTGCTAAACCATTGAAAATAAATAAATGGGAAACAAATGCTCTAAAAAATGCATTAGATGATGCATGCAAGAAGGTATACTTAATTCGTATAATTATATACATTCAAGTGTTGAATTCTCATCTTATAGTATTTCAAAGAGACTTTAAATTTTACAGAAAATTACTCATTAATGGATCGTCGTCTTTATATATCATTTTTTGCATGTTTATTTTCGCTATTTGCTTTAATTTATGATTGGTTTTATCCATTTCCGAAATCTCGTACAATTCTCATTACCTGTGCTATCTCGTAAGAAACAAAAAAAAAATTATTTATCATTTGAAAATTCATTTTTTTTTTAAATTTTCGTCTAGTTATTTTATTCTTATTGGTATTCTTGCATTATATATGTACTATGTCGAGGGCGGTAGATTTTTTACTGGTAAACTTAGTAAGTATTCTATTATTATTTTTTTTATATATGAATTTAAGTATATATATATTTATTTTCTTTTTAGTTGATAAAACTGGTCTTGATCCTGGATTGAACTGTGCAATAAGTTCTAAATTGAAAAAGTAAATATTTAATTATAGAAAATACGTCGAGCGCGAGTAAAAGAATACTTTGCTTTCTTGAAAATTTTAGATACGATGATAAATATAATTTAACTTTGGAATATAACGAAGGTACAAATAAATCAACGAGTTCATCAGGAGCATTAATTAGTTCTGTAAGCAATTATTTTGATGATAATGGTGTTTTATGTTATGATCGATTTACAAATGATTTAAAAAGGATTTATGATCAAGCACGATTAAATGCTCGTAAAGTTAAATAATTAAGAAAGAAAGAGAGAGAGGAAAAAAGAAAACAAATGTTGTTCATTATTATTTGTCATTCTGTATGTTTGTAATAAACATTTTTCGAACATCTTATAGTTTTCATTTTCTTGTTTATGTTGTTAATTGAAATGATCGTAATAACGTTGTGTTTTCTTGCAATTGTTTTAGATAAGCAAATCAAAGTAAGAAATAAAAAAACATATGATGAGAATAGATCCATATATGAAATGATAATTAAAGATTATCTTTGATACATTACACATGTATTTTTCTTACTTGGTAGTGGAAGAAATTTTTGTAATGAGGCCAATAATATAACTTGACTGTAGTATTTGTTTACGGTATCCATATTAAAAAGGACACTTTTAAAAACTTCTACTACTAACCAAAAACTCAACCCACTCTAGAAAACTTAAGCGAACATATTTTAGTTTTTTATCGTAGTACTATTTGTGGCCTACTCTGTATACAATCATATGGAGGTATGATTTACAACTTTATATTACGACTTTTTTCGACTAGAATTTTTGCTGTTTCAAATCATTATTGATAGTATATTCGATAGGAAGCGCTTGCTTATATTGATTGCTATTTATTGATCTCGTAATTCAACTAAATGTTTACAGTTTATAGCTATGAAGACTGATGATTTAATTGTTCTTTGTCATAAATAGTAAGATTTTGAATTTTAAATAGCTAGAAGTTTTCGCTGAGTAGACGACAGGTGCAGTGAAAAACAATCGGTTAATTAAAACCAAGATATATAATGATTAATAAACTTTGCAAGCACAACCAAGTAGGAAACAAATCTCGACTAAAATTTTGCTCATAAACGGAAATTATAGTATAAATTTAAAAGCACCTTTAAAAGGTTCTTATAGTTAGACCTTTTCTCATGAGTTATGCTTATTTTACTGATTTTTCAGGTTATTACGAGAAAAAAAACGTAATAAGAAATTTTCCACAACAATAGGTCTTTTCTGAAAGTTTCAGTTCGAACAGATGATTTCTTCTTGACACATCGGATGCTTGAAAAATGGACTATTTTTAAAGCTTTAATATGAAAGTAACGTTCTTTGTAAACGTTTTACATCGGAAGAGAAACACGCTGGTTTATCAGAAACTTGCAGGATATCATAAAGATGTTAGGATTTTTTATCATTAAAAATCTCAGATTGGAAATCCGTTGTTATTGCTTTTTTGCAATATCCGATAGTAAAATGAGCATAACTCAAAAATAAAGGCGTAGTTGCACAAACGTCTTTTAGATTTTTATCTACACTATGAATTCTATTTATAAGCAAAATATGAGCTCAAGCGAAGAATATCAGTCGAATTGGGTCTCTCCTTAGATAAAGAAACCAAATATTATGTATAGAACAATTAAATGCAGTTAAGATTGTGTTTTTGAATATGGTCATTTTTTTTCGCGGAGTCGTTATTAGCATACATTCAGATAAAGTCGTATTCTTATGACCTTTGTTCTTTTAAATCTAAAATGAAAAACCTTTTCATGTAAAGCAGCGATATCGAATGATTAAGAGACAATCGATCAGATAAAATCAAGTTACGTTGAAAAAACATGTATTTAAAAAAAGTAATGAAAATAAACTTAAAAGATAAAAGAACAAAAAAAGAAAAGAAACAAAAATAAAAATAAAAATCAAATTCGTTAAGGCTTATCGAACGGATAAATTTCGTTTATCGATACTTGTCGTAACAAGTCCAATTTTTCCATTAGATGATTCGAATAATTTTGTTTGTTGTATTATTCCATCACCTTTTGGCATAGATGAAATTAAATTTGATTCTTTCATAGCACTATTACGTGCTCGAATTAATGTTGGTACTGTTTTTAAACTTGAAATAAGTTTAAATGTAAGACCAATTAAACAAAATGTTTTAATAAGTATAAATGTTGAACGTGGATCAGTATGAATTTCAAATGTTTCACAAACAATCGGAACTACTGGTTTATCTTTTGTTGTTGCAAAAATATTTGAGAACCAATTTATAATTGATTCAAATGTTGTATGATTTCTTAAATAATGATTATAGTCTTGTGTTCGAATAGATGCCATTGTTGGTTTTGGACATTTTGAAGCGACAAGTGCAAGTGAACGATATCCATGTCGCATCCAATAATATTCGCAATAGGCACACATAAGGCCAATAAGAAGACAAATTATAAAGAGTTTATTTGTCATTTGTTTTCGATATTTTTTTTTTTCTATTTTTAATCAAAATAGGAATTAGATGAATAGAATAAGAGAAGCTTAAAGAAAATGTTTAATCTACCTAACAACAAGATCTATTTGAAAAAGAAAATAAATAATGGCGCGAAATTGTGTATTTTTTTGTCTTTATAGATTATTGATTTTCAGAAAAAATGGCAACACTTAAAAAAAGAATTTTACAAAATATAAGTCAAACTGAAACAGTATCATCAATATCAGAAACAACAAATCAAGTATTTAGTATAATTAATTTAAATAGAAACTTACATATTGCTTTATATTTAGTCTCAAGAACATACAGCAACAACAGCAACTTTAATTCTTGATAGTAAAAATCAATCAATACCTTCGTCTGCTCATAAAGTTCGTGTTGTTGAATTCAAAACAACTTATCGTCGTTTTACTGATTTTATTAAACGTTTAAAAACATTAAAAACACTACGAGAATATAATGAAGTTCTTGTTGAATTTACTGATCGACTTGTTCTCTTTCAGAATTGTATTGATGATTGTATAACGTAAATTAATTTATTTTATTTTAAAAAACAAAAAAGTTTATCTTTAAATTTTTTTTAGAATTTTAGTACAACATATTCTTGATGCGACAGATCCTTTAATTCAAGTTGCTTTTATTAATACACTAACAGTCGTAGAACAACAATATCCAACAAGTTCAGTAAAACATACAAATGTATTACTTAATTTTGGAAAACAAACAAGTAAATATTTTGTTGTTGTTTTTTTTTCGATTGAAAATTAATTTATTTTTCATTTTCATTAAAATAGAATCTATTAAAGTAGCAGGTGCTCTATTAAGTTATTTTTCTGTATTACCAATGTCATTATTGATTGATAAAAATGCTTTAGTTCGTTTTGCTATTCAAGTAAATTTCAATAAATTATTTCTTTGTTTATTTTTCATTTCTATATTTTAGTATTCAACTAATATTCATGTTCGAGTACAATTATGTGCATTTAAATTACTGAGTACATTTGGTCGAACAACAGATCTTGAATCATCACTTAAATTATTAATTATCAATAAATTACTTCAAGCTATTGAACATGATGATGCTCGTGTTCGAGCTGAAGCTTTACGTACAATTGTATGATATATTTTTTTTATGAAACATGATCTAACAACAGGAGTGTTGAAGTATAGGAGTATAAATCATAGACTATAACAGGCGCTAGTCAGAGATCATTACAGATTTCATTGACATACGACCACAGATTGTACGTTAATAATGTCTCGTTACAATATATGAAGTACTTCTTTATTGCATTTCTAGAAGATTAGATAAAAGAATGGTAAAGAAAAGTGTTCCAAAATGGATACAATAAGTTGATTTCCTTGTAATTAGCGACGAAAACTACATCATATTTCACATTTTAATGCCACCGAGATCTCTCTAACAGCTTTTCTAATTATTTATTTTGTTGAATTTAGGTAGATTTGTTTAAATGTAAAGTTGGTCTTGATTCAAAACATTATAGTTCATTTGTTGAGTGTTTACAAGATTATTATGCTGAAGTACGATTAGCTGCAGGTGAAGCATTATTTCTTCTTGCTACTAATGCTCCAGATAGGTATTATTTTTTGTTTTAAATAGATATTTTGATATTTGAATTTGGTATTTAGTATTGTTCCATCGGGACTATCCAATGATGAATCATCGAAATTAATTAATGAAATATTTCGACTTATTTGTGATTTAACTAATGATGAAGCAAAAATTGTACGAGTACAAGCTATGAAAATGATTGTAAATAAACATATATATATATATATACTTCATATTAAATAAGTAGACTAAATATTTATGCCTAGGGACAATTATGTCGAAATGGCGTTGATATTAACTTAATTCATCAAACACTCGACAAAAAACTTCTAAGAGTAAAACGATATTCATTGTCTTGTATTTCATTTTGGTTTTATTGTTTTAATTAGATAACTAAAAAGAAAGCATTTATTGCAAAAGTTGAACAATTAGGTAGTGAAATGGATGATATAACAGTACATGATGTTACAGTTGATGCTCAATCAGCATCAATTACAGCAATAGGTCCATGTGGTGCTTTAATTAGTGGACTTGAAGATGAATATTCAGGTAAATATAGTAGATTAGAATTTTATTATATCTATTTTGATTTCTACATAGATGTTCGTGCTGCAGCTATTGATTCTTGTTATGATATATCATGTTGTCATGATGTATTTCAATCAAAGCTTGTTGAATATATTGTATCAATGTTTGATGATGATATAGAACATGTACGATTGCAAGCAATGCGTATATTAGGTAAAATAGCTCGTGGACGTGTATTAAGTGGTGAACAAGTTTTATCAATTTTAACTGAATTACTCGTATGTAAAGAATAAAAAAGTTTGTTTTTAATTTTTTTGATTTTTTGTTCATTAAGAGTCGTTCTTATGATATACGTTCAGCATTACATGATGTTTTACGAGTAGTACGTATTGGTGATCCAGATACATTATTTAAATTATTTCATCGTCTTGTGGAAAATATTCAACGATTTAAAACAGATACTCATTCAGTGCTTAGGTTTGAAAATAAGCCTTTTTTTCTAATAAAATTTATTTTGAAGATATTGTTTGTTTTTTATTTAGATGTTTACGTGAATTGGGTCAAAATAATAGTGCATTTATTGCTTTACTTTTACCAAAATTGTTACCAATGCATAGTTATTTAGATGTTCAAGAACCTCAATTTTCAAAAATTGATCGTTAGTATTGGAATTATTTTCGAATATTTTTCAAAAAACGATTATTTTTTTCTTTTTTTTTTTTAGATACTTGTGCTTTAATTTTGGTTCTTAACGCTGCTTTACATCATCCATCAATTGTTTCTGTTCTTCCTGATTATGTTTTTCGACATTATAGATATTTAAGAACAAAAGAACCAGAATTAACACCGAATCTTCAAACAGTAATATATAAAACAATCATAATACAATTAAAAACTCTCGATCACTACATTATATATATGATAGACATTTTGTTTCTCCACATAATGGAAAAGTTCCGATTAGGATAATATAAATATGAAAAATGATAATTTATTGTTTTGAAATAAGTAAAAGGAAGAATGTATCTGGATAAGTCAGTTTTTCGAATCCGACGAAGAATTGTTGTTTTTCAGTAGAAAATATTTCTTGATAAAATTCGACTTTAGTATAAGTTCGTTGAAGAGACACTGATCAAGATTTCTATTATATACATATATTAATAAATTATTATTTATTTAGAGTTTTTCTCGTGTTCAATTAACAAAAACATTCGATGTTGATACTTCACTTCCAGTTACAATTCCTTCATCACATGATGTATTCGAACGTATTCTAAAACTTTCTGAACAAAGTCAAGATTTACATCCAAATGATAGACAAAAATTCTATCGAAGTCTTGCTGCGTATGTTGTTTTTTTTTTGTTTTCTATTTACTTTTAATCTAATTATAAAACTTTTTATATTTATTCAGAGAATTACACAAAGTAGCTGAAATGGATATTGATCTATTAGCTATATCCGAATGTATATCACTCTATTATGAAGTCTTAGCTGTTATAACTTATCAATGTAATACACGAAATTGTTTAAAGGTTAGATTTTTTTTTCGTCAGGAAAATGAATCGATCTTGTTTTCTTTTTTCTTGTTGTTGTAGGCATTATCTATATGTAAACATTTATTAACTGTATTTCATGGTTATTCCGAAAAACAATTATTAGTATTTCAAGAATTACATCTATATTGTCATTTATTTCTTATTTCAATACAAACAAAATTAACTACAAATGTTCGTCAACGATGTTATAAACATATTCAATGGCAACGAAATCAATTAAAACTTAATGATGAACAACAAAAAGATATTGATGAGAAACTTTTACATACAAATTTAATATCTTATGCTCAACAATATATTTCTATAATGTCAAAAAATGTTTTATCTAATAAAACAAATTTTTTTAAAGCTAATGATCCAATACGTATGGTATCTGTAAAATTTCTTGAACCAGAATCAAATATTGAACAGGTATTAGAATTTTTACCTGGTTTATCAGTATCAATATCTTGTTTAATGAATGCAAAAAATCTTGATCGACAACAAAATATTAATATTAAAGTATATTTTTTTTTTGTGAAATTGAAATGTTCGATAATAGAAACTTTCTCTTTAATAGGTAACCTATTTAGATGGACAATACTGTTTATTACCTATTAATGATGATAATATTCGAACATTAACTGAAGATAATTCATTACGTATTGATTCAAAAGTTACATTTTCACATCAACATTGGCTTCGTAAGAACTTTTTTCTAATTTTTGAAACTCATATTACAGATGTCAGACGTCTTTTCCAGAGTTTTGTAGCAACGGGCTGAACAGCATTAACAAAAAAACTTAGACTGTTCTAGAATATTTCAAAGCTAGAATACGCTTGCGAATGTTCTAAATAGTGCAGTTTTTTTTAGCCCAGATAAAAATGTATATTCGAAATGTCAAAGAGAATGAAAAGTAACTAGGTATGTGCAAGACCCGGTTTTTTCGGTTCTAGTCTAAAGAAAAATATTTCAGAATTTATTCGTATCACATCTAAAATAATTCTTCAATACCCATTTTGTTTTTATTTATTTAGTCAACGACTAGCAATTTGTTTGGGACAATTCACTTGAATTATGTTCTGATTTATATGATGAATAAGATAATTTGCTTCAAACTATAGAATATTTTACTCTAAACTTGAGTTTCGATCTCGATAAAGTTTTAGTTTTTGGTCCCACACAGCTTTAATATTGATGCATTGATTCATCAATGTCATCATATGATTAATATAACATGTATAAGCTTATAGAGATGTATAATAGTGTGTTGAGACCTGTTGTAGATATAATAGATATGTACAACAAAACTTATTTGTTAGTTAAATGGATGGTTAGAA